TTGAACTCCTGTTGTCACCTATTTTATATTCACCTATGATTACAGATGTTGTTTTTCGCCACAGCTGCTGTTGGCTGCTTGGAAAGGCATAGTAGCCAAAACTCATCATTTTGAGAAGTAAACTATAAGACCCATTCCTGCCATTTTCTACTATAAGAATGAGTTGTCCTAATGTTATACCACCACCACCCCAGAAAAGGTCCCAGGGCCATGACTGCTGCCCCAAATCTAGAAGCAAGAAACTTTGTCCAAGAAAGGAGTGTAAAAAAAAAAAAGAAGAAGAAGAAAGGAGTGGCTCCTGAGTATTTGCTGGCTATTGAATAACTTTGAAGGGCCAGCTGAGAGTAAAACTAAGAGGGCTGTCACATATTCCTATATTTCTCTCTATATATTTTTCTTTCTTTTTTTTTTTTAAGAGTTGAGGTCTCACTCTGTCACCAAGGCTGGAGTCTAGAGTGTGGTGGCATGATCATGGCTCACAACAGCCTCAACCTCCTAGGCTCAGGTGATCCTTCTGCCTCAGCCTCCCTAGTAGCTGGGACTATAGGCACACACCACCATGCCCAGCTAATTTTTTTATTTTTCGGAACTGTGCTGCCCAGGCTGGTCTTGAACTCCTGGGCTCAAACAGCCCTCCCTCCTTGGTCTCCCAGAGTGCTGGGATTACACGCATAAGCCACCACACCCGGCCTATTTCTCTATATATTTTAGCTTGACTCACTATCCTCATGATGTTGGTCAAGCCACTTAGACAGGCCATTTTCAGAGCAAAATGCCAAAGTGGGACAGGTTTATGACAGTGCCCTATAACATATATATGGTGTCCTCACTTCCTGGTATTTATTTTATTATTTTATTTATTATTTTTGAGATAAGATCTCACTCTGCCTAGTGTTGGAGTGCAGTGGTATGATCATAGCTTAAACTCCTGGGCTCAAGTGATCCTCCCAAGTGGCTGGAACTACAGATGTATGCCATTATTCCAGGATTATTTTTAAATTTTTTGTAGAGATGAGGTCTTGCTACATTGCCCATACTGGTCTTGAACTACCTCAAGTGATCCTCCCAAAGTGCTGGGATTATAGGTGTGAGCCACTGCAGCTGGCACGCGCGCGCATGCGCGCGCACGTGTGTGTGTGTGTGTGTGTGTGTGTGTGTGTGTGTGTGTGTGTGTGTGTTTAAAGCAAAGAACTGATTCTTGGATCTTTTACTATTTCCACAGTTGCCCTATATTTTAGCAATGTAGTATTTCTTTATTTTCTTATTTCTCTAAACTTCAGTATTCAACTCAGTCCTGCAATCAGAAATAGGGAAATTGGGTATTCCTTTAGAACTTCCCTTTTTGTGTTAATAGGTAAAGGAGAAATGTGTTTATAATGTGGGAAAGTGTGAGACTCACAGAGTCTTTATATTATAAGTAGTATAAATTACTTATATAACGTCTACACATACGTATGACAGGACAGGGACTTTACCCTAATCATTTGATTCAACTTTTCTTCTTTCCATGATACTACCCCTTCTCTCAGGAATAGAGTGGGTCCCTTCAGAAGAGCTGTTGTTACCCTGACTAACTCTCCTACTTGGAGAACTTCCAAGAACCTTTGAAATTCATTATAGAGCTAAGCTTTGTGCTTCCAGGAAGCACTTAGAACATTAGAGTTATATATAAACTTAGGAGGTTATTATTTAATTTATGTGCAAAAATAGCTTATATTCATTCTGTCAGTCAGATCTAAAGATCTGAGTCAGATTCCATCTCTTAAAAAAAGAAGGTAATTAACTTTGAAAGGTGTATTAGTTTCCTGTGAATGGTAAGTTTATAACTGATTGATTCATCCTCTCCAATATCAACCACAGACAAATGATTGGCTCCTTGGCTAGAAGGTGGCTGTGTTTTGTTGACCAAAGACCAGTGCAGTGCCACACTCTCTTAGCCTTCTTGTCTACAAAATGAAGCCAGTGAGTCCTGCTTCTTAGGGCTATTGGAAATTCAAATGAGGAATGTAGGTTAAAAGCCTTTGAAAAAGTACATCCTTGTGTATATCTGAGGAGTCAGACACTTCAAAGAAACATACAGCTCAGGCCCTGGAATCAGACTTTCTGGTAGGAGGAAGATCACTTTGAGAGGACACAGTCTATGGAGCATTTCTAATACCAACTGGGCTGGATTTGTAGCCCTTAGTGTATTTCTGTGGCTTTGCTGTCTTGTGATTCATGTCAAAGTAGTGATGCTAGGGATAAGACCAGCTACTTAAATTACCCAGTGCTTTGCAAATCTAAGTGTGTTTGAAACCCCAATCATCATAAATTCAGTGTAAGCAAACTGCAGCATATGATTTACTGATGGGCATTCTACGTTCTATTATAAGAAATTTCAAGAGTCTCAAATGAAATTGCTTAGTATTAAAAAACAAGAAAAGAAGGCTGGGCTCGGTGTCTTAGCCTGTAATCCCAGTACTTTGGGAGCCTGAGGCGAGTGGATTGCCTGAGCCTGTGGGTTCGAGACCCAGCCGGGCAACTTAGCGAGACCTCATCTCTACAATAAATCATAAATTAGCTAGGCGTGATAGCGCGTGCCTGTAGTTCCAGCTACTTGGAAGGCTGAGGAGGAAGAATCGCCAGAGCCCAACAGGTCGAGGCTGCAGTGGCTGGGAGCGTGCCACTGCACTCCAGTCAGGGCAACAGAGTGAGATTCCAACTCAAAAAAAAAAAAAAAAACAAGAAAAGAAAGAAAAAGTCCTTACTAAACTGAACTCATGTAAAGTTTGGTTTCAGGAGTCAGCAATAGGATTAGGAAAAACTATTTCAAAATACAAGAAGGTAATTTTACAATTCTAATATGAGGGTAAGGCAGCCCAGAGTTTACCATCCTGATGCTGTCACTTACTGAGATCTTGGGCAGGTTTATTCACTTTCCTGAGCCTATTCCCTTGTTAGTAAATTGGGGGTGACAATTGAGATAATACACTGAAAGCATTTAGCACAGTTCTTGGCACATAGTAAGCACTTAGTAAATAGTATTAATGTGATTTTTAGGCAAGAGTGAGTGACTAATGTGTTTCTAAGTGACTGAGAACTAGTGGTGACTGAAATTAAGTTTAGAATATAAAGAAAGAAGAATATACAGGAAACATTTCCAGTAATGTTTATTGCCAGATTTGGTCACAAGTTTCGGGGTGTGTAGGGTGGGGTAAGGGAGTTGGCAGCCTGATGCTGATTCCTTGCTTCATCCATTAACACTGCTACTTTAAAAAACCAAGCTATCAAATAGTTCATTTCAAATAAGTTACTTCATGTAGCTCTGAACTTCTAAGTGTTTTTAAGGGTCAGTTGTGTATCAGGATCTTATTAGCTCATTACTTCACTGACTGAAACTTGAGAAACAAAGACAACTCATGGGAAAGAATTAAGGGTTAGGGTATTTACATGAAAAGCAACTAGAGTATAGTTTGGTTTTATTTGTTCTGTGGATTTTTAAAAATTTTAGATTCAGGCTAGGCATGGTGGCACATACCTGTAAACCCAGCACTTTGGAAGGCCGAGGTAAGAGGATTGCCTGAGCCCAGGAGTTCAAGATCAGCCTGGACAACATGGCAAGACCATGCCTCTACAATAAGTCAAAATTTTTTTAAAAATTAGCTGGGCATGGTGGCAAACGCCTGTGGTTACAGCTACTTGGAAGGCTGAGGCAGAAGAATTACCTGAGCCCAGCGGGTCGACGCTGCAGTGGCCATGATTGTACCTGGGCAACAGAGTGAGACTCTAATTCAAAAAATAAATAAATAAATAAATTTTAAATTCAAAAGGTATATGTGCAAGTTTGCTACATGGATATATTGCATACTGATGAGGTTTGGGATTGTTTTGTATTTTGTAATTATTACTTTAAAAATAGAATTGTAGGTTAAGAATCTTATGTGGCTCTATTGTCCAGTGAGGCAACATTTGCAGAATCCGTAGAACCAAAAAAATAAGAAAAAGAAAAAGTTGGACAATTGATTATATAGTACTTGAAGATCAAAAGAACTATTAAACATGTAACCATTACTGTGAGAGCCTCATTGAACAGCTAGCCTACCATTTCAACATTAGCACCATCCCACCTCCTATGAAAGCCTTTCCTGACTATTCCAGCACACAGTGATCTCTCCCAAGAACCCGTAAAACTTACTGACCCAAAAACATTTGGCCTCAAAAAAGCATTGAGGGAGTTACTTAATTTGTCCCGTGGCTCTCCTCTCCACAGGACAGTGGTCAGGGCTCTCCTCAGTGGGGTCTGCACTGGACCCTCAGGAGGAAGGCTGGAGTTCATATGTTACCTAGTGAACCACCTTTCACATCATTCTCCTGTAACACCAAATAGTATTTTGGTGTTTGCTATGTTTTAGCACTAGAGAATAAATAGATTGGGGTGAGAAATAAGCACATCAATGAGCACTCCTCAAAGACATAAAAGTTGTAAAAATGTCCTTGAGGAATGAATGGCAAAAATCTTTACAGGCATAACAGGAAATTTCAAATAGTGCCCATGTTGAATGGAAGTGAAAAATACAGACAGAAATGATTTGCCTGAGCCTAGCTAAGGAAATGGGAGAAATAAAGAAATTTCTAAGACAGTGGTTAGATCTATCTAAATCTTTCATGTAAAATATTGAGACTTTTAATTTAGAAACTATTTCCTGAGCTTCTACTATATGCAGAATAATAATGATGATAAATAACTTTTGAGAGCTTACTAGTTCCTGGGTCTGTTTCCTCTGAGCAGTAAAGTAGTCTTGGACCTAAGCAAAGCATTAAAAGTAGAGGTTGGGAAAGGGGTTTGTTTTATGTTGGCACTAGAGAACAAATGAATTGTGAGTGGGGAAATGAGCATCTCATCTAGTGCTCCTGATAACATGGAACATGCAAAGAGCTGCTTGATAAATAAAAGACAAAAATTTTAACAGACTTCCTTTATACAACCTGTGAATCAGCTCTGATAGACTCCTCTGCTTTAGGCATCAGAAGTTGAGAGGCAGCTCTCCATGCAAGTCCATGCCCTTAGAGAAGACTTTCGGGAGAAAAATTCGTCAACTAACCAGCACATCATCCGGCTGGAGAGCCTTCAGGCTGAGGTGAGACTTCCCATGCAGCAGTGTTAGAAGGTGGAATGTTTTTCCTATTGGGGGCTCTGTACTGGGAAACAAAAATTTGCTGTATGTAAAAGGGATTAAAATCTGTAATGAAAGATATTTCTGTGAGAAACTAAATGGGGAACACTTGATCTGTGCTCTTCTGGGCAGCCTTTTGTGTAGAAAAGTAACGTTGCTCAGAGTTAACTGCTGAGTATGTTGATACCATGAATGACCTAGATTTTACTGAATATATAGATCCCTTCAAAAATATTCTTGCCAATTCCAAATAGAAGGTGAGGAAAGGCATCCCCCCACCTCTCCATTTCATGTAAGTCCTGTTCAGTCCACCTTAGTAGGGTCTACTATTATTCTCATCTGTAAAATGAGATAATTAGAAGTTTCTATTTCATAGTTGTTAGGATTTGATGAGTTAATACATAAAAAGCACTTTGTATGGTACCTGGAACACATTAATGAAGCATAGGAGAGGCCAAACATGGCAACCAGGGTCTGTGGCCCTGAGTGGGCCAGAGGAAAAAATAAAGTAGCAGTGGGGGAACAATACTGTGAAAATCTGGTTGTGGAAGGTGAGTAGGGGGCAAGGGTCATATTACTAGCCCAAACAGGTTGCTTCCTGCTTCATAAATGACCTGAGGATGCTTTTCCTAAAGTCTGTCAATATCTTCTGTTTTCTCCTGCCTCCCATTCCCTTCCTTTTTCCTTTGCTTTGGAATTCCTACTGGTGTTGAGCAGCAGGTTCTTGAAGTAAGTAGAATTGTTCCAGTGGGGTTTGGCATGCCTGTCTGTGACCATGTGTGTGCATGACTTGCGATTCACCTGTCTCTCCCAGGCTCTCATTTCTTTGAGTTGCCTGTCTTCCTCTTTCCCTCACCTGTTCATTTTTTCTAGACCCTCATGAACCAGGTCATTTCCAGGAATGTTTATTGTCAGGTTTGGTTACATGTTTCGGGGTGTGTAGGATGGGGTGAGGGAGTTGACAGCCTAATGCTGATTCCTTGCTTCATCCATTAACATTGCCACTTTAAAAAGCCAAGCTATAGCCGGGCTCGGTGGCTTAGCCTGTAATCCCACACCTTTGGGAGGCTGAGGTGAGTGGATTGCCTGAGCCCGCGGGTTCAAGACCCGCCTGGGCAACTTGGGGAGACCTCATCTCTACAATAAATCAAAAATGAGCTGGGTATGGTAGCGTGCGCCTGTAGTTCCAGCTACTTGGAAGGCTGAGGTGGAAGGATCGCCAGAACCCAGCAGGTCGAGGCTGCAGTGGCCACTCCCAGCCACTGCACTCCAGTCTGGGTGACAGAGTGAGACTCCAACTCAAAAAAAAAAAAAAAAAAAAAGCCAAGCTATGAAATTGTTCATTTCAAAAAGTATTTCATATAGCTTGTGAACTTCGATTTTTCTTGTTTTTGTTTGTTTGTTTGTTTGAGTCAGAGTCTTACTCTGTCACCCAGGCTGGAATGCAGTAGCATGTTCACAACCACCCCAGCATCCACCTGCTGGGCTCAGGCGATCCTTCTGCCTCAGCCTTCCAAGTAGCCAGAACTACAGGCACACTCTACGCATACTTCCACGCCCAGCTAATTTTTTGATATATGGTAGAGACGAGGTCTCCCCAAGTTGCCCAGGCTGGTCTTGAACCCCTGGGTTCAGGCAGTCCTCTTGCCTCAGTCTCCCAAAGTGCTGGGATTACAGACTTGAGCCACTGTGCCTGGCCCTAAGTTTTTTTAAGGGTCAGTTGTATATCAGAATCATATTACCTCATTACTTCACTGACTGAAACTTGGGAAACAAAGATGATTCATGGGAAGGAAAGGTCAGAGGGTATTTAAATGAAAATCAGCTAGAGTAAGAATTCTCTTCACATGGGTAGCTTTGCTTTAGTAGGAAATAGTGGGCCCATTCACAAAAGGGGCTTGCTCCTTTCGGTTCCTTACCCAGGTGCACACTTGAGAGACAGTATTTCTTTGTTTGGCCAGTTACCTGATCTCTCTGGACAAAGGCCACATATTTCATTTCCCCAGGATGGCATTCTATCTGATTGACTGGTAGCCAGAGAAGATCTGGGCTCTAAGAGCAGGATTCTAGTGTAAAGAGTAAGAACAACCAAAAAGCAAAGGGAAAGGTGACTCTCAGAGGACCTGAAACAAGTTAGACACTTATTTCAAAATTCCCCTGGAAAGGTTCTGAACTTAGTCCTTAAAACTAACCCAAGTAAAAGCCTTAAGGAATTGTTATTCAAGCTAGATTATCAGTGTACAGAATATCTTAATCGTGTTAGGAAAATATTTCCAAGCAAGAAGCTAGTTGGGAAATCCATCCACCAGGAAACAGTTAAATGGGAGGACCCAGAAGGACTCCAGAAGTTCCCCAAAAGCCAGTATCAATTGGGAAGACTTGGGAAGGTTTTCTGGAGCCCCTGAGCAGGGCTGTGTTCTTTAGATGAAGCATCCCTGGCCTTGGGAGCACTGGCTCAGTTTCTCACCCTGCAAACCTTGAGGCCAGAAGAGACTTGGTACCTCTTTCCTCTGTGTCTCTGTTTTCTCACTGAAGGGATCAGACAGACCTTCCTAAAAGAAGATATATATATATATTTATTTATCTTGAGACTAACTATTTACGTCTTGAGACTGGCTCAGTGTATACAAACTTAGCCTGTTTCATAAAAAGGAGAGAATGTGCTTCTATTTGTAACTTGCTCAGGTAAAAGTTACTTTGAGTAAAGTCAGTTTCACTTGTCCTTGTCATGCTCCTTCCCAGGACATGGACTTGTGCAGATACTACTTTGCTTTCTGCACCTGCAAACTTGTCCATTAACTCAGGGCACTGGGTCTGTGCTGTGATCTCTAGTGCCAACAGTAAAAGAAAGGACAGAGGGGTGCTGCAGAGGATTTCTTGGGCATTTCCTTGAGCTCATGACCTGGAGAAGGTAAAGTCGTACAGCAAGTTAGGTTCACCCCCTATGAATTGTAGGTTTGAGGTAAAGTTGAGGGCAGGCAAGGTAGAGTCCTTCTCTGTCTTATCTCTGGAATTTCCAGAGCACTAGCCTTTCCTTCCTCTGCCTGGCACATTCCAGCTTCCCCAAAGCTCAACTCCACCCTTTCCCAGACAGGTTCCTAGAGGGGAGGGACTTTCTCTTCAGCTTAGGATTTCACAACTGTTCTCTCAGAGATGGGGCCACCTAGTCCTTGGGCAGAACACTGAGAGACACATGCCTTCATGTTTGGAGGCTACTCCCTCCTTCATACTCATCAGTGCAGGTGTAACTCCACACCATTCCTGTGGCTCTCCACCCTTTCAGATCAAGATGCTGTCAGATCGGAAACGGGAGCTGGAACATCGTCTCAGTGCTACCTTAGAGGAAAATGACCTGCTTCAAGGGACTGTGGAGGAGCTACAGGACCGGGTGCTGATCCTGGAGAGGCAGGGCCATGACAAAGACCTACAGGTACTTGGACAGAGAACCTGTCCTGCAGGAGGGCCAGACAAAAGGAGCTCTTAACCATTTAGCCAAAAAGAAAGGGCTGGGAGACCAGCATCACTAATGGGGCCAGTTGGGAGTAGATGACTCTGAGACCTCATCATGGGCCCTTTTGTAATTCCTCCGGGCACTCACTAACTTGGTCTTTTTGGTTCTGCCTAGAGGAAATGCATTGCTACCCACAGGTCATCCCTCCAATGTGTTCTGAGCCACTGGCCCATGGAGCAGTTTCATAGAGTTCTTTCTGGACTGTGGCTGGAACACCAGGAGTGTTATTCTGGCCTCCTAGTATTTGTGAAATCTGCTAGAAGATTTCAGAGGGAGCCTATGACTCTCTGTACTCAGCTCACAATGCTCTCTGCTGCTGCTTTCCCAGGGTGATGGATTTAGTTGGCTGGCATGGAACATAAACCAAGAAGCTGTCCACTGAACACAGCAAGACGTATATCCTGCTTCTGCCAGTTGCCAGAAAAGGCACAGACTGACCCCTTTGTGAGCCTAATTAGTTTCTTTTTTTCTTCCTGAAGGAAATTGCTTCATGACCATATTTGTCCTTATTTGGGAACTGTCACCAATCCTTAACTGAATCCCCAAGCTCACACTTGACAAGAAACAACCCCCAAAACAAAAAGATAGTAACTCCAGCCTTCCCCAGAAATAGGATGTAGCATCTGCTACCAAGATGCTTTGCTGGGCTGGCCTAGGAGCATCTGGAGGCAGAGACTAAGAGTGCATTGCTTCCCTTTGGGATCCTCTGAGCATGCCAGGGAATACACTAGATTGCGACAGTGACATTTGTGCAGAGGTGGTCGGTCAGGTATACTCAAGCATTAGGTGGGTTCCTGCCCAAAGACCAGCCCACAGAAGGTCTTGCTGGGCTTATAGGTAGGCTGTTTTAAAGCCCTGGGATACAGGGTAAGGAAACAGCATCAGGTTAAGATCACTTGTCACTGATACCATGAGCTAAGCTGACATCTGAGTGATGAATCTCTTTGAGGGAAAAGCAACAGCTTTTCTCCTTCCATGTTTTTAGTACCTTCAGCTGGTAAGTTTTCATGTAGTAGGACATCAGTAAATGCCGAAGAGAAAATGGTGCTGGCTAAAGCCTCACAGTGGTTTTCAAAATAGAAAGGAGTTTGCTTATTTTTCAAAATCCATGATGATAATAGCTGTGAACATTTGTGCGCTTCTTTACAGGGGACTAGTGCTTTCACATACATCATAAAGCTGAGACTTTGAAAAATGAATGATTTATCCAAAGTCATAGAGTGAGTCCTTGGTCAATGGACACTGCAACCCTCCCACCTGCCTTACCTGTTGTTCAGTGATAACTTCTTGTGTATTACTTACCTCTGAAAGTCATTGTTTGACCAGCATTTATTATCCCACCAAGCACTCTCCCAAGGGTTGCTGAGATATGGAGCATAGAGAGAAGGAAAAGAAGTACAGAAGAATTTTAAAAATGGCCCCTGCCTGAAAGAAACTTTCAGTTCTTATTTTAAATCAAGAATTGGGAACCTGGGGATAGGGGAAAAGAGCTATGGACTAGTGGACCATTGAGTACATGACTGGCACATTGGGCTATCTGTTCTTTAGCAGCAAGAATTCCAAGTCATGCCACATGTACTTGCTCACCACCTGCACGTCCACCGTCTTCCCATTGGACTTCCTCAAGAATGAGAAGGTGTCACTCACCCAAGGACCTATAGCAAGTCGGGGAGCAATTCTCACTTTGATTTGGAGAATCAAATCAAATAGAATAGGCTAAATTCTCATCCTTCCTAATTATTGTAATTCTGTTCCTTCTGTTCATGTGAAACTCTTCTTAAGTTGTCACAAGTTACCAGTGTCCTCCAGAAAGCCCTTTCTATTGTTGAAATGCCCTATACTGATTCAGAAACAAAAATTCCAACTTACTCAGGTAGTAGTTGAATGATCCCAGACCAGACTCGTAAAATGTAGAGCAAGTAGCCTTGGAATGTATTTAATCCCATGATTTTAAATCCTCAGACAAGGGTGAGAGGAAGGCTGAGCAGGCAAGGCAACAGGCCTGCCACAGCCAGGGGAACCCCCTTTTGATCTCTTTTACTATATAATTGGGGTCTTGCTGTCTAAAACAGATTTTTAAACCACTCATCAAATCTAACTCTGATTTATTTCAGCTGTGAGAATAGGAATAAAAATTATTATTTATTGAATGCCAAGAATATATCAAGCACTTTGCTTAAGTCTTGATATTCAGTACAGTAAATCATTTTGTCTCTCTAAGGTCCACTTAACTCCCCGGTTTAATACTGAGCTGAGCATTGTACAGATGTGTACAGGACCTAGTCCCAGTGCATGGGTGAATTTTGTCAGCAGAGGACAGGCCCCACCCACTGTGGGGCGACCTAGGAAGCTGGTAACTTGGAGTCTAGACGTTGCTCTGGCACTGATTATGTATCATTAGGTGAATCACTTAACATCACACCATCTCAGTTCCCTCAGATGAAAAGTGGAGAGCATCCCCACTTTTGCCCACATGAGTATTGTAAGCGTTAAGCATAGTGTGCTATACAAACACAAAGCATTTAAAGTCATTCTTATTCATGCTTATAAATATGCGTAGGGTCATCTTTGTTATATAAAGAGTGATATTTCTGGCCAGGCGCAGTGGCTTAAGCCTGCAATCCCAGCACTTTGGGAGACCAAGGTGAGAGGAATGCCTGAACCCAGAGGTTCGAGACCAGCCTGGGCAACTTGGCGAGACCTCATCTCTACAGTAAATAAAAAAATTAGCCGGGTGTGGTAGCATACCGGTAGTTCCAGCTGCTTAGAAGGCTGAGGTAGAAGGATCACTGGAGCTTATTTTAGAGTGTTCTTACATTTAATAGACTCTTCTCTGGCTTGATTTTTTTTTTTCTTTTGCTTATGTCTGTCTGGTTGGTAAATCAGCTATTGAACAATAAATACAGACCTCTCCTGGTCTTTTGTTCTCTACTGTTATAATTAATTAAGCACCTTTGAGTGTGCATGAGTAATTGAACTAATTTTGTCCATTGCATAAGAACTTGTATTTGTGCTGAACTTCTCCTGCTGAGAGTTGTCTAGAAAATAATTGTGAAGCATTTTGCCAGTTTAACATGCCATTTGTAATTATGCGAAATGCTTCTTAGGAATGCCTTTTTTTTTTTTCCTATAACCCTGATTTTTTTCTTTCTGAATGTCCGCAAAACTGAAGCTGGAGGATATCCCACTGGACCAGGAAATATCAGTGATCCATGGGAACTTTGCAGAGCAGTATTACCAATTCTGTCTGCATTCTCTGGACAGCCAGCTTCCAAAACCTTCCTACGTAGGGCTATTCAAGATCACTGGTGCCAGTAGCCAACCATTTCCCAGTACTGACAGTGAAAGTGTGGCTTTGAGGGCGCTAAAGGATGGGCTAAAGGCTCTGCAAAACAGTTTGCTCCCTTCATAAAAACTATAGAGCTATGAGTTACTGCCAGTCACCCCTCAGTCTGCATCTCTGTAGTAGCCACAAGCCAACTTGGCCAAGACTCTGGAAAAGACCAGTGGAGTATCCACTCTCTTTTTAATGGAACAGAGGTGACCCCAGAAATTCTATTTTATAAAAGAATAAATTAGGCCGAGCTCAGTGGCTCAGCCTATAATCCCAGCACTTTGGGAGGCCGAGGAGAATGGGTTGCCTGAGCCTGAAGGTTCAAGACCTGCCCGGGCAACTTGGCGAGACCTCATCTCTACAATAAATCAAAAAAAAATTAGCAGGCGTGGTAGTGTGCACCTGTAGTTCCAGCTACTTGGAAGGCTGAGGCGGAAGGATCGCCGGAGCCCAGCAGGTCGAGGCTGCAGTGGCCGGGAGCGTGCCACTGCAATCCAGCCTGGGTGACAGAGTGAGACTCCAACTCAAAAAAAAAAAATAGAATAAATTAGTTAATTTAAATTCCAAGAAGTTCTTCTCCCCACTCCTCAAAATCTTTTGGTGGGAGAGAACCTAGTCCACAAATATGAAGAGCAGGAAAGATTGTTTCTGTGCAGGTGTGGCATGTAGCCTTGTGCCTATCTGCTAGCAAACCGATGATGATTCTGCAATTAGTGTCTGCTGTATTAAAACCAAGTTAGTGATGGAGTCCACATATAAGAGAATAGCATTTAGCAGTTTTGTTTAGGGCAACAGAGAGTGGTACCCTGTTGTAGACTCCACATGGAAGGGGCTGTAGAGAATGCAGAAGGGTGGGGTTGGGGGGGAAGTAGCAGCATTGTGAGAGGGAGAGGGAAAGAGACCAGCCCACAAGCCATGACCCCTGCATTGCTGTCTCCTCTCTACTACTGGTGTCATTTCCCTACTCTGAACCTCAGTTTTATCCTGAGATGGTTAGACTCAATCTTTGTGGCCCTGTCAGCTCTAAAAATGGAGGTTATGTGAAAATCTCTTAATTTAAAAATAAAGATAGTCTATGGGAAAAGTCTATAGTATATAATATATAGTATTTGACTTTCAGAATAGAAGCTATTTGAAAAGCTATCGCAAAGGAATACATGCAAGTAAGTAACTCTTCCCAGTCTTCAGAGAGAACTTAGAAAGAACAAACAGCTTCATGTACCATGTGAAGGACTGAAGTTAAACAACGTAAAAATGTGTATATGAGAGTTAAAACAGAAACTATGGGACTTCCTCTTCAGAGAGCTTCAAAATAGGTTAACATCTCTTCTGTCTGGGATAAATGGGGTGTAAGGAAAGTGAAAAGAGCCTTGGACTGGGAGTCATGGATCCATTTCTGCTTCACAAGGGTTTTAGGAAAGTCCCTTTTCACCTGTGGCTTAACTATCTGATGTGGAAAGTGAGAGGCCAGCCCTAAGGGTTAGGTAATGGTTAGGTAGAGGTGGAAGCTCTTGGTATTACTACACAGATGTTATACCACATTGCATCCCTAGCTTCTTTCCAAGCGACCCTTTTGCTCCTTAATCTTTAATGAAAATACACATATAGTAAAGCTTATGGATCTTAAGTGGACAGCCCAATGAATTTTTTCAAATGTGTACGCCTGTGTCACCACCACCCAAATTAAAGATTTAGACTATTATCAGTGCCCCATAAGGAATATACTGCAACTTCCTCAAAAGCTAAACTCCATTCCAACTTTTATCTCTTCTATGTCAATGAAGTTTGGGAACTTTTTATAAATAGAATCATACATTATATACTTTTTAATATCTGGCTTTTGCTCAACATTGTGTGTATAAAATCCATCCATGTTGTGGCATATAATATATTTGTTTTTAATTGTTGTATTGTATTCTAACATGTGAACATACCACAATTTATTTATCCGTTCTATTTTTATTGACATTTGGATTTTCCCAAATGTCTTTTGTACACATGTCATTTTTGTTGGGTCTACAGCCAAGAGTGGAACATAGGATGGATTGTATATTTACATCTTGGTCTAAAGCCAAGACTGGATCATAGGATAGATGTATATTTAACTTTATTAGAAACTGCCAAACAATTTTCCAAAGTGTCTGTACATTTTCTTCTCCCATCAGCATAGTTCCACATCCTTATCAACACTTGATATTATTTTTTGTTATTTATGTTAACCATCTTGATGAGAGTCTAATGGTATCTAACTTTATGTGCTGGTATATATTTGATTTTTTATTTCAGAGGATTTCAAATAGACTTGACAATGGACCAGTGTAGTGAAGCCCCATGCTCCCCATTGCCTACCATTCCTTGGCCTGTCCTGCCCTATCTTTATAATATCCATCTTCTCCCCTTTTGTATTATTTTGAAATAAATCTCAGAATTTGGCTGGGCTCAGTGGCTCAGCCTGTAATCCCAGCACTTTGGGAGGCCAAGATGAGTGGATTACCTGAGACCGCAGGTTCGAGACCAGCCTGGGCAACTTGGAGAGACCTCGTCTTTACAATAAATAAAAAAAAATTAGCCAGGCATGGTAGCACATGCCTGCAGTTCCAGCTACTTGGAAGACTGAGACAGAAGGATTGCTGGAGCGCAGCAGGTCGATGCTGGGGTGGCCATGAGAGTGCCACTGCACTCCAGCCTGGGCGATAGAGTGAGACTCCAACTCAAAAATTTAAAAAAATTTTTTAAAAAGCTCAGAATTTTAATAAATTAATCTGTAAATAAAAAGTACTATGCCGGGCTCGGTGGCTCAGCCTATAATCCCGCGCCTTTGGGAGGCTGAGGTGAGTGGATTGCCTGAGCCTGTGGGTTCAAGACCCACCTGGGCAGCGAGACCTCATCTCTACAATAAATCAAAAAATCAGCTGGGCGTGGTAGTGCATGCCTGTAATTCTGGCTACTTGGAAGGCTGAGGCGGAAGGATCTCCGAAGCCCAGCAGGCGAGGCTGCGGTGGCCGGGAGCGGCCACTGCACTCCCAGTCTGGGCGACCGAGTGAGACTCCAACTCAAAAAATAAATAAATAAATAAATAAAATAAAAATAAAAAGTACTGCCTCTAAAAAATAACTTTAAAAACTATAACCACAGTACTATTATGCCTAAAAATTTAGCAGTATTTTGTTAATATCATCAAATACCCAATGAGTGTTCAAATTTTCAATTATCTGTATTAGTTGATATGTCTCTTAAGTCTTTTTTTAGTCTCTGGGTTCCTCTTTTTTTTTTTTTCTTGAAATATATTTGTTGAAGAATGGAGTTGTTTGTGCTGTAGAATTTCCCAGATCTGGTTTTTGCTGACTGCATTCTCTGATACAATCTAACATGTTCTTCTCTCCTCTTTATTTTCCTGTGAACTGGTGGTTGGATCTAGAAGTATGATCAGATTCAGGATCAGTTTGTCCTGGTTTTTGGTTTTGTCAAACCTCAGTACCATTTGCTCTCTCTCTGAAAGCTTCACCAAAGCCAGCTGGAACTCCAGGAGGTGCGTCTCTCCTACCGACAACTGCAAGTGAAGGTGGAAGAACTCACTGAGGAGAGGAGTCTGCAGAACTCTGCAGCCACCAGCACATCCCTTCTGTCAGAGATCGAGCAAAGCATGGAGGCTGAGGAGCTAGAGCAAGAGAGAGAACAGGTGCTGACCCCCCTGTTACCCTATAGGCGAGGCAGCCTGGGGGTGCTTGGGGCTCTTTCTCTTTCAGCCGTCAACCTGGCATTGGCTGCAGTCTTGCACCTGTACCAGCCTCTTGGCCTGCTGACATAAAACAGACCTTGGCCAAAGCATGTCCCTCCATTTCCCACCCACCTTGTTCATTAAGGCACTGAGCAGAATGGCCAGAGGACAGAGTACCCAGGGGCAGAGCCAAGTCCCACTCACTGTCGCCCCCATTTCTCTTAGGAAATGCTTGTTGACTAACAATCAGCCTCACACCTCTTACATTGGCAGAGTTCTAGAGCATTCATAATCCATCCTCTCCATCTAATTGGTTCCTTTCACACTTTTCATAATACCCAGAACTACTCATTTCCCTAATCAGTTTCTGACTCCTACCAAAGAAACTGATTATATAAAGGAATGCTTTATATGGCAAATGGAAGAGCCTAGAGAACAGGAAAAACAGTAATTGGGAGTCTGAATAGATGTACTTGACCCAGAATAAGTATCTCAATTTCTTCAGGCACTATTTTTTTTTTTTTAAGAACAAAAAAAAATAACAAAAATAAAACCCTTTCTTAGAAAGGTTACGTACTGGATACAATGTTCAATATTTGAGTGATGGGTACTCAAGAAGCCCAATCCCCACAATTATGCAGAATACTCACGTAACAAACAAACATGCATGTGTACCCCTGAATCTAAAATAAACATTAGGAAAAAAACCAAAACTTTCTCCTAGAACTGGTGTCTTGGTTGCCCACATTTTGGGTTCAGATACTAGAAAAAGATAGCCAGGTGTGGTCTTTAGAATCCATAATCAAGAAAAATTCTCTGTGGAACAGCTGAGACTGCAGCTCTGGGAAGCCTACTGCCAGGTTCGCTATCTCTGCTCACACCTTCGAGGTAGTGACAGTGCTGACTCAGCAGTCTCCACGGACTCCTCCATGGACGAGTCTTCAGAAACCTCATCCGCCAAGGATGTGCCAGCCGGCAGCTTGCGCACTGCCCTCAACGAGCTTAAGAGACTGATACAGAGCATTGTGGACGGCATGGAGCCTACGGTAAGAGGCCAGTCTGAGAAGGTCCTTACCCTTCAGGATCTGGCTAGTGGGAGTTTAGAACCTACTGCAGAAGGTGAGGTCAACTCTAGAACTGGAACCCTATAAAATATCTGTAAGAATTTCTTCTGAGCCTTATTGTTTGAGAGCACTGACTACTGGTGTGATGAGGCAGAGGGACTGAGTGCCCAGGAGTTATCTACAGACACTGGGTACAAATGGAGCCCCTTTCTCCAGATAGTGATGTACAGACAATGGTGGCCTCCAGTTTAAGAGCTTTCCTAGGAAACTTTGGATTTAGAAGTTTATATCCAGGTAAAAACTGCTATAAATAAGCAAACTGAAAAGATTGAAGCTTCTACCATAAGAATATAAGTGAGCACAAGTAGTTGGGAAGATCAGCTCCAAGAGCCTTTTAGAGTTCTAGAGACATGGCCCACCTGTGGAGGAGAGGAATGTTCTCATGAATATTCTGGGAGGACTGACATTTTTTTCCAGCTTCATGACAGATTTATCCCTGACGTACTTTCCATTCAGACTCCCTCCTATAAAATAGTATATCTTTCTACACATACTGGATGAAGTAAGATGGAGGGCAGCTGTTTCTACCTGATCATGCTGTGTTGATTTGTGGGATGTATTGTAGTATGAGGCCAGATCACTGTGGGAGAAAGGAGCTGTCAGAGTGAGGTGTGCTGTTCATGCCACACAGTTTCCTTTCCCTCAAGCCTGAAACAGAAGTGAACATCTAGCTATTGCTTGCAGGTTGAAATTGAGCAGTCGCTCTCCTTAACGGCTTTTTTCCCCCCTGCTTTGTCTCTCCCTTCTTTTTCTCCCTTCCCATCTCCCCTACTATCTCACTCTTCCCATACTACCTCTCCTCGCCACTCTCCTTTTCCTCTCTCCTTTTTATCTCTCCCCACACTAACCATCTTTCCACCCTACTTCCTATCTCTCCTCTACCCTCACCATCTCTGGCTGACTCTCTTTCTTTTTGCTGTCAGAGCTCCCGGAGACTTGATGATGATTCCTTAGAAGAACAGATAAGGCAGACCAGTGAGGACTCGAGAGCCCTAAGGGAGCTCATGGAGGGAGAGAGGGGTAAACTGAGGCAAAGCCTAGAAGAGCTGCAGCAACTCCACAGTCAGGTGAGCACCCCTATCTTCAGTCCAGTGCAGGGGATGTGCATGAGTCCCCTGACTCTCTTGGGTCCCTTGTGAGTGTCTCTCTCCCACTTCTTTTTGAGAAGCAGTTCTCCAACAAATCCTCAGGGAACAGTGACCTGAAATTGAGGTGAGCTGGTGTCTTCAACAGAAGAACCCAGTCCTCTAGTTTAGCCCAAAGTAAAATTGCCAGGGATAAGAATAGCTAGTTCTCCATTTCCTCCAGTGACACCCTGCCTTACGCAGAGCCAAAAGTTAGTCTGCCTGGTCAGTTTAAAGTGCCACCTACGGATGATTTTTCAGCAGCTTTTGGGCAGGGAAGTTTGCAAACCAATGATCAATTGATCTTTACAGAATTGTTCCCTCTTTGTAAGTGCCATCACCTCTATCAGTCTGTTTTTCAGCTTTAGAAGCACTTATTGTTGCCCTCACTATTCCTTTCCTGTTTGATCCTGATTTCATCTCTGTTGAGAACACTGGAGAAGGACATTTATATTTGAAAAATGTTAAAGGATTTAGGAGAAGCCCTACCCAGAAAGGAACTTCTGAAATCTATCCTAGGAGATAAATAAAGTCTCTTCCTTTTGACTACGTATACAGGTTCTATCCTACTTGGGAGTAGGATTGGGGGAGCACCAAACAAGCAACATTTTTAAACCCTTCTCTCCGCCCCTAGACTGTTCCTTTCCTTTCCTTGCCCAAAACTATTCATTCCTTACCTCTGCATGAGAATTACACAAGATGATATTTAAGCCTGGCTTTCCCTTCTGTCAGTATTTCTTTGTTTCTTTTCTTTTCTTTTCTTTTGTTCTCTTTTTTTTTTTTGGAGTTGGGGGCTCATTCTGCCACCCAGATTGGAGTGCACAAAGATCATGGCTTACCTCAGCCTCAACCTCTTGGGGTCAGGAGATCCTTCCATCTCAGCCTCCCCAATAACTGGAACTATAGGCATGTTTTTAACACCCGGCTAATTTTTAAATTTTTTTTGTAGAGATGAGGTCTCACTATGTTGCCTGGTCTTAAACTGCTGAACTCAAGCAGTCCTCCCACCTTGGCCTCCCAAAGTGCTGGGATTACAAGCATGAGCCACTGTGCCTGGCCTCAGTCAGTATTTCTTACGTTTAAAATCCCTTTATAGAAAGAAACTCCTGTCTTTTTTGGGTCATCCTATTAAGTCTCCCCAATGTTATTTTCTTGAAGAATATTAGGAGACCCACCTACACCCATTACTCTTCCTTCTGTGAGTGACTATATAACAGGACAGAAAGATGCTGTTTAAAGCTATGGCTTGTTCCCGGCCAAGCACTGGGGAGTAGGGCTGGCAGCCATAGACATTTTCCCCCCTAAAACATAAGATCCTCAGAGGAGGGTCATTTGGCCAGGGAGTGACTCAGACTTAGAGACAGATTTTCCAAACTGGGAGAATAAAATACAAGAGAAAAGCCGGGTTTGGTGGCTCAGCCTGTAATCCCAGCGCTTTTGGAAGTTGTGGTGAGTGGATTGCCTGAGCCTGAAGGTTCGAGACCTGCCTAGGCAACTTGGCAAGACCTCATCTCTACAATAAAATCAAAAATTAGCCAGGCGTGGTCGCACACGCCTGTAGTTCCAGCTACGGAAGGCTGAAGCGGAAGAATTGCTGGAGCCCAGCAGGTCAAGGCTGCAGTGGCCGGGAGCGGCCACTGACTCCAGTCTGGGTGACAGAGTGACTTCAACTCAAAAAAAAAAAAAAAAAACATGCAAGAGATAGTTGGATCTAAAAATTCTTTGACTTAATAAAAAGTTTATTTATTTTAAAACCCATTTAAATTTCATTGGAGTGCTGCTTCTTATCAGCTCTTTGATATTGACTGATTTTTTTGTTTTGACTAGGTTGTCTTGCTTCTCAGAATTATAAAACTATAAATTCTCCAGAAACAAGCCGGGCTCGGTGGCTCAGCCTGTAATCCCGCGCCTTTGGGAGGCTGAGGTGAGTGGATTGCCTGAGCCCGCGGGTTCGAGACCCGCCTG